CAGAACAGAGGCCTGCTTCCTGCCTGGCCCTCATGTCTGACCACTGGGTCAGTCAAGGGAAAATTTGCCATTGGCTTCAATGGGCAATAAATGAGACTCCTCAATGATATAGACTATGATCCTTAGGGAGCAATATCTGAAAAGAGGGTCTCAACAGGTTCTAAGAGTTTATTTCAAGGATAAAAATGACTGAAAGTGTTTCTCTTGTCAATCTGGATGCTAGAAAGATGGAGAAGTCAGCTCAGAAACCATCTGTTTTGCACATGTGTATTGTTGGAAGCACAGGGCCATCAGTCTTCCTTTTCAAGTAGCATGGAAACTCATTTTTTTCAGCAAATGAAGTGGCATTACTAAGCCATATTTTTAAACTGTACTTTTCTTGGACATATAAATTAAAATTAATACCATCCTGACTGTACATTTTGTGACCTTAAATGGAGAGAATTCCTTTTCAAGGAAGAGCAGGAATTCATTCTGCCAAGTAGTATTAGAAATGCAATGGAAGGCAAGACACTGGCTTAAAGCCTTCCTGGACGATGGGGTAAATTTGAACTAGCCTAATGTAGTCTCTCAGTTTATCTTCTTTAGGTAAGAGAAGGTGGGCTGGTAAAGAGAAATATTTCCCCATTGATGCCTGTTGTGAGGTAGGTCAAAATAGTGATTAAGTCTGGGTGTTTCCAGCTCATCACACAAATACATCAGATGGCTTCTTACCAAAGACTCTGTGGGCACCATAAATCCAGTTCTGTGAATTACAAATCAAAAGAGACTCCTCCTTCACACTCTCTGCAACAAGGGGAAGCAGCGGGTTCCCTCACCTGACAGACAGCAACATATGCTGAAATTGCCAAACCAACTTGAGAAGGCCTAATTGCCTTTGAATCATCTATAAGAGGATATAGGGCTATTTACTTACCTATAGGAATAGCTTTTCTTGGTCGACGACGCCCTGATAGCCGTTGTTTCTGCTTTCAGATGAGGCAGTCCCTAGAGTGGTGTCGGTGCCATGCAACGCCATTTCTCCTTTCCGACTGGAGCTCACAAGCACTTGCTAAGGTCGCCAGCCCAGTGCTGCTCAGCACCGCTGCGAGGGGCCGCAGGGCCCCAGAGGGAGCCGAGATGGCCTTGGCAGCCCCGAAGTGTCCTGTGGGCAGCCCCGATGTGTCCTGTGGGCCACCGCGGTCCCGCTGCCTCAGACGGCACCAGCAGCTCCTGGCCTCCAGTGCGGCTCCGGCCCCGTGCTCGGTTTAACAGATAATAACAGTGTTGGAATAAATCAAACTCATCACTCCTAGTGCTTATCCCCCCCTCGAAAAGAAAAGAACAGCCGAGGAGCTTGAGAACAACTTTGTGAGCTGGCTCCGCACTGTGTCAACCTGCGAGCCTGGATGGAGACGAAGCAGAGAAAGTGGTTGGGGGGAGGGGGTGAGGGGTGAGTTTGTACTTCGAACAAACCACAACAGGGCGGGAAACTACATCGGCCCTCAAACCCTCCCATTTATCCGAGGCCTGACACACGGCCCTCCGACAGTTCTGCCCAGCAGCCACTGCGTGGCAGGAGAGATCAAGAGGATGGTTTATATTGTGCAGCGCAGAGCGCGGCGGCCGCCGTGGGACGGGCGCCATCTTGTCTCCCTGCGGGCGCGGTGTGGGGACCCGCGGCTCGGGCACCTGCGGGGAGAGAGGCACGGCCCGGGGCCCGGTGTGCCGCTGGCTGCTGGTGGTTAACATTAGCAGGCGGCAGGACCCGGGAGCAGGCAGCTGGGAGGGGACGGGCAGAGGCAGAGGCTGGCACTGCGCGGGGCGGTGGCCCCGCTTCGCTGCCCGCCCTGGTGGCGGGGCAGCCGCGGCCGGGGCAGCTCCGCAGTGGCGGCCGCGGGAAGCGGCTGCGGGCCCGGGCGAACCTCGTGCTGGGCAGGAGCTGCCAGGATGCACGGCTGAATATAAAATTAATCCCCTCATCGGAAGAAAATGAATAAAACTCCAGGGAGTTCCTCTTTGGCACGGGGAGAAAAATTAAATGGCTTTCCCCTTCTTAGAATCCAGCAGACTGGGGAGCTGTATTCGTAGCAAGTAATAGATCTCCTTAAAAACATGCTCACAGAACATAGTAATTATTAAAGTAATTTGCCACTTAATAAGAAATGCTTTCTGGATGCCTGAAAACAATATGGAAAAGGACTGTGCATGTTGTTGCTGCAAAACTGGGAAAAACTACAGTTGTGAAGCAACATTTCCATTTAAAAGTTGATTTTTTCAGGTGATGCATAAAAAGAAATAAAAATAAACTCTTTTGTTTTGGGTTGACTGAAATGTTTTCCGTTCTACCCAAACCAGAACTATTTTCCATTTGTTTAGTTTGGCCACTGAAATGAGAAGTTAGTATGTCATTATCCCCACACAACAGCAGGAAAGACATCTGAAGGACAGACAGGGTTTTAATTAGCTGCACTTCAGTGTTTAAGATTGATGCTGAAAGGTATTACAGTTACAATATGTATGTCCTGGCTAGGCATTAAGTAAAAAAATGCTCTTTTTTTCATGTTAATTTTGAATTAGATGCTAAAAGCTTCAGGAGTGAGTCAGTGCCTCTTTGAATTAATGACATACATATAGAAGAAAGATGGCACCGGCTCAGTGTGCTTGTAGACAACAGATGTAAACATAGAGTTGGGTAATGAAACATAAAAGAGAAATATGATTGTTTATGATGTAGCGTAATAAGCTGCAGTCTCAGCCATTTGCTTAAGTATTGACATACTAAAAGACAAAACCATACCAAAACAACCCAAACCTACATCACTTACAAGAAGTCATTGTGCCAAAACACACTTGAGGCAATACCAGACTGTGTTTAGACAACGGTGTTGAACATTACCATGGGAACAATTGATGTTGAAATCCAAGACTACAAAAAAAGCAAAAGCACAAAAACCCATATGGATTTGCAAAAGTTTCAAGAAACATGATCCAAATTTGAAGCAATTGTTTTTTTATATAAACCCGTGGAAATTTTAAAAATTAAGGAATTAAAATACAATTATTCACTCCTTATTTGCTTGTGTGGAAAATGTTTAGGAATTCTGTAATGGATCTGTGCCTTATACCTCATTGGAGAGGAACTATGCCTTGCAAACCAGTGCAACATTTCAATGGCCAAAATGTTTGTTTCCCCCTGTTTCTCCTGACAGAGAACTACCAGAACTATGATACTACTTCTGAAAGGCAATATGCAGATAACCTGGCTTTTGTAAAACACGTTGAATGTACGTCCATGAACGTGGGCATTAATCTCAGTGGGGCTGTTTCCTAAAAACTTTGACTGAGCTGGCCGGCATTAGACTCTTAAGTCCCTTACTTCTACAAGCAACACCTTTGCACTTTGCACAGGCTAAACAGGTTTGCAACTAAACAGGAAAGAACTGTGAGAAAGTTTAATGTTGATCAACTGAAGACATTTTTGCTGCAAGAAATTACTATGACAAGACCGATCCTACTTGGACACCTGATTCCCTGGCTAAATAAGACATTTTTGCTGCAAGAAATTACTATGACAAGACCGATCCTACTTCTTGGACACCTGATTCCCTGGCTAAACTTGAAGTGTACATGGAATGAGGAAGCAAAGTCCATGTCAGAAATGGCCAAATGGAACAAACAGAAGATCCTAGAATAAGAAAAAAAAAAATCAAATTTACTGAATTCACAAGGAACTATTCATTCATTATACATAGGCCTCTTAAATTGGTACTCTTATGAGACTGGTTTTCATTGCTCACTGTAAAGTGAAAAGCAGAGGAGCACTTAATAAACTGGCATCAGTCTGTATCCAATTTCCACTTGTCTATTCAGTTACAGGCTGATTTTGAAACTGTAGAATTTGACAGTAAATCTAGATTTTTCCAGGTACCCTGCCTTTCCAAGCTTATGTGGCAGTTTGTCAGCCTAAAGCATGATACCAGCTTGGTATACTTTTGTCAAGAAGTTGAAGGGGAAACTGTTCATTCCATCATATCTGGATGTCCAAATGTCTCCACTATTGGCTGGTAAAGCTTTGATTTGGGGACACAGAAGAAAAAGCCCTTCAGTGCTCTTATGGTCCCATGCCAAAAAATATGCAAGAATGACAATTACATGGAGAATTGTTTCTTTCCCAAGAGGCTGGAACCCCCCATATGTAATTTCTTTGGCATATCCATTCCGAATCAGCATTTATATTGTGACCTCATTCACCTCAGGGTGTTACAAAATGTATCTTAGTGTTATTACAGTAATTATTTATTTATTATATATTGGATCATATTATGCTTTATTATCTTATAGTTATTATACTATATTTACTGTATTTATTATTGTATATCTATTATATTTAGTATATCTTTATTTTATTATATTATCTTAGTGTTATCATACTTAATAAAGTGATAAGATTGATGAAAAGCTTGGTTAGGGTTTGGCTCTTTCATTTGCCAAATGATCCAGGATTTGCTATCCGGGGACATAGGTTTGCATCCAACAGCAGAGGTGGGCTGATGATTTCTGCTGGACTTGGAATCCTGTACCCCTTGGGGAAGGGATGCCTGGTTTTCTAGTCCCATCATCTCCTGCCTTGCCTCTGTTTCATCTTCAGAATCTGTCTTTGCCAGCTGCTCTGTGTGAGCAGAACCTGGAAATTTCTGGCTCCAGGCACTACTGGTGGCCTCTTTGTATGTTTTTCTGATGAGCGCAAGTTTGCATTTTAAACAGGATGATTGACTTAGTCATAAACCTCCCACGTCAGCGTGTTGATAGAACCTTAATCCTTTTCCATGTTTACAGGTCAAGGCAGTACATCACCAGGCATACTCCAAGCCCTACCATGTGCTCAGTCTTCATACCACTCTATATATGACTTACCTGAGCACTTTTCTGGGAGCATTTCTTTGCAGACTCATGTCTGTCACTACAGGACACAAGAAAACATGACGCAGACACGTTGTTGCTCTCAAGGCAGGAAAAAAGCAAGTTTATTTTCTGACTCCAACATTTATAGATTTCTAAAGGTGACAGTGGATTGGAGGGTGAAAGTGCCACCTCTCCAAGGACACTGGACAAACCAACAGTCCATCAAGTTTCTCCTGCTCCATAAAAGAATACAAAACAATAAGTTTTTTATAGAAAGCATGTGAGAAAGTTTAGTACAAGAATGCAAACTTCAGAAGGCCTAGAAAATCTTAAAAAATCAAGGCAACACATATCTATAAGAAAAAGAACTGAGCATAGACCTATTCTAGCCTTATTATTTCAAAGATATGTGTGGTTTGTCTCTTTTGGGAGCTGTGTAGATACATCCATAATTACCACGGAGAAATAGTCTCACCGCAGTGACCTATTTCACTGCCTAGGCAAAAGGCACTGATGGTTCAAGTGGAAACTGCATGTGTTCTGGTGATGTCACAAAAAGAAGAAAGTCACAAGGAACCTCAGAAACCTCAAGGATTTCTGTCACCTCTGCACCTCATTTGACCTCCAAGCAAAATGTTTCATACAGACAGGCCCAAGTCTTCATCTGGGTCAGCAGGTTTTCAGGAACCTTGCAGCACCCAATGGAGGACCTGGTGATTCTCCTACATTTGCACTGTGAAATGTAAATTCCACTATTTCAGAACTTTTGATATTTCAGAACATTACAAGAGCAGTAAACCCAGGGCCATTGAGGTAAAGATTCCATTTGTCTCAAGTGCAAAGGATCTTGAGGTTAGCATCTCTGTTAAGTATCCAAACACCAGCATGTACATGTAAAATAAATGAAAAACTAAAATTATTGGAGAGATAGGCAAGAACCATAATTTCTTTTCCTCTATACAGTACTCAATGCCTAAACATACAGCAAAAGTTAATATTTTAGAAAGCAATTAAGCATTGACTAGGCATGGGAAATCTTCCTCAAACAGATGTCGTGTTACAAATTACAGCACTTATCAGCCTACTGATGATACCATTTATTGTAAGTCTGCTCTTTCAAAGTGAAACCATATGTTGAATGGAAAAGAGTGGAAGCCTAAGGTAAGATAAGACTGTTTATTAGGCTGTACTGATGGATGAATTTTCTTTACAATATAGTTTAGGGTTATATAAATTCTCATTGGTATATGCAAACAAATGTGCAGACACCAGGTATAACATGATTTAAGTTAGCTGTCAGATGACACTTCTGGAAGATAGTGCGACCAGTACTACTGGTGCCAAACTCCACAATATCAAAACCTTGTGCTGTTCCCATGTTCCAGTGTGTGAATAATGCTAGTTTCAAAGCAGCAAGGAGAAAGACAAGTTGATAGTAATTTTTAGACCATTGCTCTTGGAAATTTTATGTTGCAGGAAAAGGTGTAGAATCTTGGAATACAAGAGGAAGCCACGTTTCCAGCTATTCCCTAAGAGTTCCAAAAGCTAGAGTCTAGAAAATGTCACCCTGCTGGTTCCTTGGAGCTGTACCCGAGGTTTCAGGTTTGGCTTGTGACTGTGTCTGTCAGTCTCCTGTCATGTCGATTGCCTGCAGTGCTTCCTTGGAGCTGCAATCTCCTTACAGAGAGCAAATCCTAACAGAGGACAATGAATCATTTGAGCTACAGCTCCCATAGGAAGATATGGGAGTATTACCAAAGTGAGGCTTTTCAGTTGTTGACTAAGAGACTACTTCTGAGTATTTAATTAGTTAATTTAAAAGAAAACAAGATTTTCCCCAGAAATCAGTCTTTTTGTTTAAAAATGTGTATCTAATTTTCCGCAAAAATTGTTTCAACCAATGCTTGGAATTAGTCACTGACAAAACTACTTGAAAATGGATTTCATAATGTAGAGTAAAATCCAGACAATTTTTTCCAGATGACTTTAGAGTGATGTCGTTATTACTCCTAAACTAAAAATGATAAAACAAGAAAACCTGTAATTAAGGTTAAAGAAAAAGTAGCATATTAAAGATATAAAAAAATACATCATTTGAGCATGAAAATTACTTCAATCTCTGCTTTCTCATGCTTTAATTTGATAGCTACGAAAAAAAGATTTATTTGGTTTGATTTACTCCCTAACATTTTAAAGCAGCCAGAGCACACTGAATAATTAAACAGTCTTCAGAAATAGTTGGTATTTCCAGAGTAGCACAAGTGTCTAGACAAGCTCAGCTCTACTGCTCGTGTGTCAGCTGCCTGCTACCTTTTGGGCCTCTCTGTTCTTCTGGGGGCCTTCATCTGCACACAACTCTCTTGTGGTCCTTCTGCCAGTTTCTCCTACAGTTCCTTCTGCAGGTTCCTCTGTAGATACACACAAACCAGATGCATGAACTCACACAGAGAAGCCCACATCATTTTTCTACTACCCCATAGTTATTTGGTCATGGCTTGTTCTTAAGTCTTCTGCTTCTTTCTTATTCCATCTTTGTGGAATATTCCTGAGGCAATGAATAGTCTAACAAGAAAATAAATAAAACTGATGATGATTCTGTCATTTATTATTCACAGACATACTCTCCTTAGAAAAAGAACAGCATTAGAAATCACTTTCAAAAGCAACTCCATTGGTTTCTAAGGGTGTAAGACTTTACCTTGAGACCTAAATTTTTACAAAAAATTAGCAGCTAAATAATAACATTTTGAGCTCAATTTAAGCTAAATTAGCTTAACTAGAGATAAATACTACTACTAATAATATTTTGTTTTGTCTGTTCCACAAGAAAACATCTTATTAAGAGAACATGACAATAAGTACTCAATTAAGTCACTTAATTCTGTTCCATTTTTCATGCAGAGCTTTGCATACAAATCTTGGAACCATTTATGGCCATTGGTTTTTAATTTAAATTAACACTCATTCCAAGGAAGAAGGTCTAAGTAATTAGAAAATAAGCTAATTCATCTGCATATTCATTTTAATCTGTAAAAATATCTCTTAATGATTTCTGTTGTGATGTTTTTATTGCTGTAATACAAGGTATGCATTTGAAAAGCTTTCTGTGCCCAGAGGAATACTCACAAAATCAGCTGAGCCGAGGTTGTATCACAGGTGTTATAAGAGCACCTAGCAACACTGCATAATAAATGGAAATGGGAAATTGATAACCACATTAAACAGCTTTGGAAATTAATTTGACGCTTACTAAGGCCAAGTATGGTTATCATAGTTGGCCTTCGTCCAGAGCACACATTTATAGTAGTTAGGTATTTGGTATGAGCTAAAATTTGGTTGTGAACATGAACAAAAGTTTTACTTAAGCTAGAAACTAAAGTCAAAGGATTTTATAGCAGAATTCTTGCTGAAATTGATTTAAAAAAATTCTATGCTACTTTCTATCTCTGAGAGTATCTGGGGTTGTGCATGAGGCAGGTACTCAAATGATGTCACAGCTAATGCTTAGCATCATTTTCTCATAGACCAAATCCTTTCACACCCTTTTTAAACAAAAAGTTGGCATTAGACCACACGATACTACAAAAGGAGTCAAGACTATATGCCATTCACACAGTGGCATGTTGCCAACAGGAAGCTCTGTAGAAAAAAAAAGAAATGGTTTCAATGCATAAATGAAGTGTAATAAAATATCATAATCAGAAAATCAACATGAGACGTGGTAGGCACGGTCCTGTTATACCTGAACTTGTTTGGGAATCAGCAGCTGCTTGTGCGTCAAACTCTTAACAAATATGACTGGAAATTCAGGATGTGCTTATTCAATTAAATTCAATTTCATCTGGATTATGATACAGACTATACTATAAATGTGGATAGTATATTTCAGTCCAAATGCAAATAAATGCAAATGCAAATAAATTAATTTTAAAAGTCTCTGGTGGTGCTGCTTGGGTTTCCAAATGTGCATTACAGGTATGTAAGCAAAAGGTACCTACTTAAACTTTTCCCTATGCACGTGCCCCATTAATAGAGAATGTGGGAGTTTTTAAATTACCTTTTACTTGTTACCAAGTCAAAACATATTCAAGTTCAAAGTTGCCAACAGTTCACCAAGTTAAGGCAAATTCAGCTTAGAACCAAGAACAGACTATATTTTCTTGCTGCCAGTGTTCTGTTCCAAATTATTAGCATAGGTGTTCTCTCTGATGAAATCCTTGCCATCCCCATGGACAGAAACATTGTATTCCAGATTCTATGTGAAAAAGAAACTGATGGTGCCATGGGATGACACTTACAAAGAAAAAAAACACTCAAATTCAAAGCATTTTTACTGTTTTCAATATAGTCCCATTTGTTTCAGGAGAAGTAACTGGAACAAATTCCATGCTGGCCATATACCATAGTGATTTTATTGCATCTTGCTTCATTTAAAGTCACTGTTAGTAACTACACCAATGAAAGTGGGCTTGGGCAGTGAAAATCATTATAAGAGCTTCCAAAATGAGATCAAGAAACAACACTTACAGCACTTTTTCAATAGTACTTTATAAACTCATATTTCTGGCTGATGGCCTGACAAGGAACCCCGTGTGTACTTGACACACCCCTTGCAATGAAAGGTGCCCAGGGAAGGTGTGATGAGGCCCCTGACTGAGGCAGTCAATGAACCTTTGTTTTAGCTTTTTGTTCATACCTGATGTAATGGAAAGCTTTTACAGAGCAATGTTTGTGGGACAGAACAGAGTAGGGAATTAGCGGATTAAACAAAAGTGGAGGAGCTGTGTTTGCTGAAAGTTGTCCTTTATGGTAATACTACCATTATGTTTACCATGTGGACCATTACTGTATCAGAAATAAATATCTACCCAGTGGGTGACTTGCATAAGGCTATTTCCTCATCAGTGGTGACACGAGTGCATCATACTCCCTTTGCAAAATTAACTTTTTGATCAGTCTTATTTCCGAATACTGCCAAACTGCCATGAAAGGATTAAAAAGCCAGTCAAGAAAAAAAATGTATATATATATATATATATGAGATATAATTTTAATGTCACTAAAACTTCCCATATATAATTTTTGAGCTGCTGGTAAGAACTGCTTTTAAAATACTCTTCTGCAGGACAGCAGAATAAAAAAGTAAAGAAAACCACCTTCTCATTCATGTTCAGTACTAATCAAACTTTTAAGATACTCAGGTAGTATCTCAGAACATTCTTTTTGCTTCAGTACTTTATAGAGATGGTAAAATATTGGTGGGGCATTTAAAAAATCAAAGCAGATATTTTCTAGCTGAAACTTCCTGGTAATCTGTGATGACATGAGTATTTAGTTCATCCCTAGTGACATGGAGAACAGTCAGTCTTTGTCTTCTTTTTCCACAAATATGTGTATATTAGAATATTAGAATTTTATCTCAGTGCTTTCTCTTTTCCATCTTCAACCACCCAGCACCTTACTCCTTACTCACAGGTCAGATTTTCTTGTTCTTGATATCATGATTTCCTTTAAACTCGCTCTGTTTTGTTCTGTATCTGTCTTGAAAAAGGATGACTACATCCTTTTTTCTACTTGCAGCTGGGGCTTTCCCAGTAGAAAGTGAAGCAATGCATAACTGTGTCATCTGTGCAGAACTCTTAACTATGGTCTCAGGATGGTACCTCCTTTATTTTTTTAACATTAACATATTGCTAGTTCAAGAATCTTCATTCTGAAGCACAAAATACCAGTTTCACCCTTTGAAAATGAGTGCTATGCACATTTGTGCTTTCAGTATCAACCTCCAGAAATTAGTGTGCTATAATTTTGTCCTTACCATCTCCTTGTAAATGACAACAGTAGGCTGATTTATTACAGCTGTCAGGAGATGTTTCAATATTTTAGGGTTGTATGTAATTTGGGAGATAGGCAATCAGCTTGGATAAACACAAATTAAGCAATTAACCTCAGCACACTGGATATTATCCCTGACAGGATTGCACTCTCAAAATTGAATAGACTACAAACAATCAGTGTGATCATATCATACCCCAATGGCTGTGTGGTACCAAAATGTGCCTTTTTTTCTGTCTGATAGCTGGCTGAATCTGTGGTGTCTCCATACAAATGTAATACTGTGCTCCCTTTGCACTTCAGATTGTTTTGCATCTTCTGCCTACACTTACCAAAAAGGCCTGCTGTCAAAGTGCTGAACAGCCTTTTCCTGTGGAAATTCTCAGCACAGGCTTGTGAGGATTATACATCTGGGAGTAAATGACTGCCTGGTTGATAGCTGTAGAGAAAGATGCCAACTTCACTGGGGGAGATCATAGAAATTCTCTCTCCCTAAGCAAAATATGCTCTTTGGCGATGTGGCATTTGAAGAAAGTTGGATTTTTTTTTTTTTTTTTTGCTGGTTTACTTCTATTCACAGTAACAAACTCACTCAACAGCAGGACCACCTCCTGTGAGGCTTCTGCTTAAACCATTTGTCCCCCAGTCTATCTATGGGTGTGTGCATATGTGTGTGTGTGGATGTGTGTGGACAGGCCCCAGAACTCCAGAATATCAGTATTTTTTTCTTTGTCATCTCTGGCTCTAACTGACACCAAGGCAGTTGGATGCCAGTTTCCAACATAAACACAGTCCCATTAGTTTCTTAGCTTTCACTCTGTGACCCTAACAGCAGTCAGTAGCTTGTGTGCTTTCATGAGAACTGTGTACTTTACCTGTCACAGCATGGTCCCCTGACCCTTTGGCCATGAAGAATTCCTTTGGTGTAGCAGTGTCACTGCTTCATCTCTGCCCAGCTTACTGGCATGAGCAATTTCCTGAGTGGCTGTCCAGTCTACTGCATGTTTTGCATCTTTATCAAAGTGCTGAACATTGTCTTAGGTTGTGCCATTTGCTGCAGCATGGAGAAGCAGTGTGGGCTTTTCTCCTATAACCTCTTCATTAGTGTTACCTGCCTTTGTTCTGCCTTTTTTCTTTAACCTTCTTCTAATATTTTAATTTGCCTATGTAATCACAGCTGTAGTAAACTTATAGGAGCTTCTGTGACCTGGATGCCACTGCTGTGCACAGACCACTGGTATTATCATAAATTTATTTTATGGTTTCCAGTGTTACAGTAGCTTATCTCTGTTTCCAGGTGTGTTCTGGTCTCCTCTTGGGACCTCAATGAACTTCTCCAAATTCAAAGATTATAACATATTTCACTCTGTCTTTCTAAAAATGTGAATGTTGTAATGTTTCTATTTTCATGTAATGGAGTCCATGTATTTCTGTAAGACACTTTCATATATGGTCTAAGTTAATCTCACTAAGTAGAAAATAGATCTCTGCTCAGAAGTGATAAAAGCTACACCACCACATTGTCAGGTGTGCTCTCAGGACACCAGACTCAAATGTCAAATTCCCCCCTTTCCTATTTGTCTAGGCATGCCTTGAAATTACTGAGATCTTTATGTGTTGTACGTTCAGAACATTTCAGATTCTTGTCAGGGAAATATATTTTAATGTCCCCAATTCTCTAACTTTATCCTTAGAACTAAGATTTGTTGCATAGCTCTACTTGGCTATGGCCTGTAAGACATTAATTACTTGTAAGACTGAGCACCATGGAGCTCAGAATGCCTCTGCTAAACCATGGCTCACGGTTTAGCAGAGGCATTCTCCAGTATGTGTGTTGGCTCCCCTGTAAAAGACTGAGTCACAGAAATGAGAAATCTGTGCACAAGCACTTTGCTGGAACGTTTCTGGTCTTTCCTGTTGTTTTGTAACAGCTGCAGACACCTTCTGAGAGGAGATATCCTTGGAGTGAAAGCATTGCATTATTTTGCAGACTGTTGAACAGCCTCAAACACTACTTCCAGGGATAATCAGACAGAGTCTTATTTGCACTTGCTGGAATTGTAAGTTAGTAGTCAGTTCTGCGTCCCTCATGACCTACCTTTCCTGTAGATGCTTTGCCATGCTTGTTTCCAACAACCTACATAATTTTTATTTCACATACTGCATACTGATAAACAGTAATGTAATGTAAAAATTAACCCAAAATTCAGATTTTACATCCAATTAATTAAAATAATTTATTAAATATTCTCTACAGACAGTTATTGAATGACTACTGCATGAGAGAAGTTCAGTCTCACTCAGAGGTAATATGGCAAATTTATTCGCATTGCTCAAAGTCAGAAATGCAGGAGTTCAAATGAAGAAAAAGCAAATGTCTGAAAAAAAATCATTACTAGTTTAACTCTCTGAGTTATTTAGTAACGTAGATATGAATATGTAATACTACATTTTAATGAATAAGCAAAATATTTGATGTTACTATATTATAATTAATAAGCATTGAATTTTATGTAATTATTAAGTCTCTTCTGTAAGGCAAGAAAAAATTGTCTTTGTTGCATCACATAAAAATACAGATTTGGTGCCAGTGCCAAAGAATTCATTTGTTGGTTTTGTGGTTTTTTTTTCTGTATCTTTATATTTTCTGTTAAAGTGGCTTCCCACTTGAAGCTCAGAAAACTAGTGCAGAGAAATATTCAAGCAGCTTATAGCAGTTCTCTACCTTCTTCTTCCCTGCCATATCAAGAAATTCTGTTTAGTAAGATGGATACAAATGGACAAGGCTTGATGATCATTAAGCTGTATTTCAATTAGGAAGCACTAAAACTGAGAATGTAAATCATGGCTCTCTAGAGTAACTCTGCATCAGTCCAGACTACAGGTGAGGGTTCTTTTTTCCCATTTTCATGTGAGCTGCTGAAAATGTATTTCCAGCCCTGAACATTTACTTCTGCTACTACTTGATACACCCTACTGAAGCTTTCCAAGAGATGAACAGAACAGTCACAATCTTCTTACTTTGGAAGATTGTAGTTTCTGTGGCTGGCATGTCCAGACCCCCAGATAAGATGAGCTGGCTTGGATCTACCAATGCACAGTCCAGTTTACATTGCACCACCTGAGGATCTACACCTGAATAATGGACTCCTGGCTTGTACTGCCAAAATTCATGCTGAAGTGTTGATGCAGCTGGCATGGCTCATATGCTTTGATCTTTTCATACACAGGGACGTGTTTCAAGAAAATGTCCATGCTTTAAGAAATGTATCTTTAGAGAAACTGCTTGAGATGCCTTGAGAATTAGTATTGCTGGAATCATGATCAGCACTGATCTGAAAAGCTTCTCTGGCCTGTGGCAGAACAGAGAACATAGCTAAGCCCCAGGGTCCTAAAGCAGCAGAGCTTGCTTTCATTCATTTCTCTTCCAAGGTCCACAATAATTTTTACACCCATTATTTATTACAGCTAAATTTGACTGATGGCAGGGATGTCACAGGTAATTCTGTCTTCAAAGGATTATAGAAAACACAAGAACACTCAGGAAGAAAAGGGACAGCCAGTTCCCAGTTTCCCAGGTGAAAGAATAACTGTCATAGGCTCACCTCTTGTTAGAAATGAGAGAATCCATCAGAGACAGAAACTCGGTAATTATGTGATGTGTAGGAAAAAGATGGCAGAAGTCTACATCTTTTTGCACACCAAAGTCAATCAGCCACGAGGGATGGATTCATAGGAAATCAGGCATAATTAGGTCTAGAGCTCAAAGGTCAATGAACACAGCAGAATGAAGCCTTAAATAAACAGAGAGGATGAACCCAGTCTCATGCCAGGAAGTATTGGTAGAACCTAAGCAAATACTTAAATGCGTAAGCATCTCTCCTCAGCTATGTCAAATAAAAGCTTTGTCAATAGTTACAGGCATGTTACATTGCTTTGAAAAGCAATGTTTTTCAAAACAAAAGCACTGCTCCTTCACTACCTCTCTTTCAACAATTCCCAACCCAACTTGCCCTTACTGCAGGAGAGAGCTAAGCATATATAGTTCCACCTCCGTGTTGAAAGGACTAATGATACCAATGCAGAGGAAAGCCAGCCCTGTTTTGGGGTGTATGCACCCTTTTCTTCTGCTGTGTTTCACAAAGTAAGAATCCACTCCTCTCCTACTATAAGTGACAAAGCTTGGCTATATTAAAACTAAGAAGGACATTCCTATGACTGTTTTTTTAAAACATCTCCAAGATCTTTTAGTCAGTTCTCTGCTTCACAGAAATATGTGACCCATCTCATTCCTCCTATGGAAAATGTCTTTATTTAGCCACTCCATAGCTCCAGAAAGTTTTGCAAGACAAGGATAAAAAGTACAATATGCATCTGTCAAGGGGTTCCAGTCCCCAGGCTAATGAGGATTTCTCAGATCATACATGAAGGGGGTACAGGCTTCCCTCTACCTGGAGGTGCAGGTTTTTATGACTCTTCCTTGAGCCTTCCTCTGTTCCAAAGCGCTGCTGTGGCAGTCAAACAACACTACTGGAAGCACAAACAGTTTGCTCCTTCTCATCACACAAAATGATTTCTTAAGGTAATTTTTGGAGGAGGAAAAAGGCCAATGAAGATACCCAGGTACACATGAAAAATTACAATTAATTTGTCATGTTGTTGTATTCAATGGAAGTAAAGAACACAGAAATTTGGGAAGCACCAAAAGAACTATAACATTAAAGCTGTGAACAAAGGTAGCTCAGACATGAAGAGCATCAGACAGAAGCCAAGCCCTAGGTTGAAAGCCTTCTGCTTATAGCTAGTTTAAACAGCAAATTACACATGTATAATGCTGGTCTTTCTAGGTAAAGAAGGGGGGGGAAGCATTACTAGAAATGCAGAAAGTTAATTGCAAAAAGCAGACTTGTTTACCGACTTGTTTATGCTGAGGGAGAAGAGCAGCCTACAGTCAAATGAAAGGAAGTAAAAAACTGCACACTCAAATATGAGGGAAGAATAAGCACAGAAGATTTGTTTTAAAGACTCTGAAATCTGTGGGAAGAATTGCTTTACATTAAGATATGAGATCCACTTTGGATGAAATTAATGAAATTAAGAAACATCAGTGTGAAGAGATTTTCATCGATTTAAAAAAGATTTAAAAAAAGCTGTGTGTAACCTTTTGTTAGATAAATCATACCATCACTAAACCAGCTTTGAAGACTGGTTGCTTCTGCTGAGCACAGCAGGAGCTCTGCCATGGACTGAGAGCCAATGGCCTGTTCCTCAGTGCAAGCTGGAGAAAGGAATGTACATGTGCTGGAGCAGTGCTTGAAACATGGTGCTGATTTTAGTGATGGCTTTTTCCATGCACCAAGCATGAGATCATGTACAGGGCTGTATTTACATGGTGATGTAATTTTGCAGCAGAAGCTGGAAAAACAAGGAGGGTATATTCCACAACTATGCAGCCGTGTCATATATATGTTGGCGAGATGAAAATAAGATGTGGGACACAACCCTACCCCAAACTTCTAGACAAGCTTATGTTTTGGCTGCAAAATCAACTCATAACTCTAAAGGGAACTTGCATCAGGCAAACAATTTTGGAGTCAAACAGCATATGTACTTAATTGAATGCTTACAAAATCACCTTTAGTTTTATTCAGATGTTCTGCCAACAAAAGGAAAAACCATAGATGCCTAATGGATTTAACAACATGGCTCTATTTATGTTGTGATCACATAAGATCAGATGCTCAAATAAAATTATTTTCCACATAATGTTGTATGATAATGTGGTTTACAAACTGTTACGCCCACTCATCTTCTGAGATAGAATCTCACATTTTTTCCCTTAAAAAGAATGCCATGGTGTGTCACTGAGACATAAAAACTTGAAAAATAAATTGGTTAACATTGTTTACAAACAGAATGCTATTAGTTATAAATAAATAAAACAGCATTTTTGATTAACCAGTGAAATTATACACACACTTTTTTGAAAATCTGATCAAGTTCAGTCTATGGTTGGTTTCTAACTATGCAGGCACAGATCTCTGTATGAATAATATTTAATATAAGACCATAACTGTTCTTCCAGCTCATCCACATCCATTTCGGAGCTGACCAAAATAGAACTGGTGCATCTCTGAACCTCTGCTGCTTTAATAAGAATTGCTTTAGATTAGGAAACTAGGTGAGTCACTGACTAGAAGCAAGAGCAAATCCAACTATAAACCATGTGTGCCTTTTATCTACAAATAAAGTGGACTGGCAAAATAGCTTGAACAGTATATTCAATGACAGTAAACTTGGATGTAACAATCAAAATACTGGCTGAGGATGCTTTAGAGGGAAAACATACAGCTGGGACCAACAGAAGAGAGTCCCAGGACACCTCTTTTTTCCTTCTTCTTGCATGCCAACTGTTAACTCACTGAATCCTTAGATGAACACAGGTGCAGAACATGCCAAAGCTTGGGAATGAGCACAGGATGAGGCAGTGTCTCAGAGCAGCTCTTCAGAGTGCTGCAGTACCTGTGTGCATCCTGCATGGAGAACCTTTAGGTATCTCCTCCACGTGTCAGCAGTTCACTCCCCAGCAAACAGAACAGTGTTTGTTAGCTGGAATTTTCTCAGTGAAAGAAGTAGGAATTGAACTTCACTTTGAGATGCTGCTAAACATTAGTATAAACAATTGGGGAAAAAGGAATACTTTCTGTTCATAGATTTTATTATAAACATATAGATTAAATATTAACATAGGAAAAAAAAAAAAAAAAAAAAAAGAGACTAGTTAGACCTTTAGAAGGGCAAGTTTCCTAAAACAGTCCCAAAATCCATTTTATACAGCATCCACTGAGTTGGCAAACGCTGTAGAACCACTGCTGTGGTAATTGAAGTCTACAAAACACTGGGATATTCCCTGTTCTCTCTTTTAAACAGAACAGCATTCTGCATCAGGAAACAGTTAGTTTGCACTTTTGTTTATTGCCACAATGAATAAAATGTTCAGCCACAATGAATGAAAAAGATCCCTGTATTCAAATAAAGATACTCCAAAAATATCAGTTCAGCCCACTTCCTTTTTTCATTTTCCCCAGCCAGCCAGGCTCCTCCCAGCTGTTTTAACTGGCTGAAAATTATCAGTATCAGTCAAGATCCTCTGGGCCTACTGGGAGCTTTGCAAAGAGTAAGAGCTAGAACCAATGTTTGTTCTCCAAGTAACATGCATAATCTTTTTTCAGTTCTTTTATAATGACTGGTTGAAAAGCAGAGTATGTACAAGTCTGTAAAAATCCTTCTGTTTTCAAAATATTAAATTTCAACTACAACAAACTGGATGGTTGAAGTTTCTAAAGTTGCAATTATCAACTGATGAAAAAAAAAAATTCTATGCGCTTCCATTTTTTCCTGACACTCAAAGACAAAAAACTTGAAGTAAAGATGCTCTGAGCTGTATGCTTGAAAAGGATGTGCTTTCCTGTTACAGCATTTTCTCTGCTCCCCCTGTTCCTTTGTCTTCCAGCAGTGAGTGCTCTCAGTGCCACTTTAGTTCCTGTCAGTTGGTGGAATCAGATCCAAGTTACGAAGAAAGGTAGATTTATTCAGCATCTATACCAACATACATATTTGTACAGTCCAGACAGCCAATAGTACATATGTAAGCAGTGGAGTTAATGAAATATGTATGTATTTTTTAATCGGTTAGTTCAAGTAGTGCTAAGAGGTCTGTGCTTTTAGATTTATATATTATCAAGTATATACTTGGTGTTTCCTCACCTTAAAAATAACTGTGAATAAACACCTGAAAATATGGCAGCTAATAGAAAATATAATCTTAGGATTTTATTGGAAAAATACAATTTGCAATAAAAAATGTTAATTTCTTCTTACTAGAAACGAGTAATAAAAATATACTCCCACACATAATTTTTAGTGTCCTAAACATGTAACAAATACTTCTGCAGTAGCAGCCCATCCTTTAAAAAGTCTGAATCCCTTACAGTGCTGCATTTTAATTATAAAAAAAAATTAATTAATCAAAAAGCACATAAGTCAGTAAATCTTTGCTTACTCTTTTGTACATGTTACCCTGTGTTTTGGCAATGTAAGAAAATGCTAGAGCATGTTGACTAGATAGGAAGTGGTTTACATGTAAGTATTCTATATAAGAAAGCAATCTACAAACACTGGCTCTGATCCTAGGCAGGGTCATTGCCTCTTTCTACTATTCCATTGATTCCAGCCAGAATTTACCCAAACAGAGCAAGTCTGGAGGGCCCCTCTTGTAAAGATCACAAAGTCAAAGGAACTTTTATCTTTCCATCTCTCTGTTTTGAGAAAAGGATGGGGGCAAGCTCAAGCTAAGCCTTCTGAAGAACCCTTCATCCAAAATGGAGATTACAAAAGCCTATGGGTACCGCCTTATTGTCTACTTCCCTTTATGCCCTCTCCTGCCTGCCACAGTTTCCCACTTGCTCAGGCACATGTTATCCTGATCAAATGGTGTCAGCCACCCCAGATGCTCACAGGTACCCAGAATCAAGCCACTGACACAACCCATTCCCTGGACTTTGGAGTCTGCCAAAGACAACAACACAGAAGAGCATGATGTCAGTGGCTAGTGAAACAGAGTGGATTCAAGCTGCTTCTCTCCAAAATGGAATTTCTGTGCTTTTATGAAATCCAAGAGGGGCAAACATCTTTTTTTTCCAAGATGGATTTTGTGAAATCAAATGAGCACTTTTTCCATTTCCCAAGTCTTCTTTTTAGTAGTATTTAGCCAGTATTTCTCTTGGTGAAAATGAATTTTCCGTTTCCACAGAGGCATGATGCAGTGGGGAACTTTTGAAGAACTTGCATAGAAAATATCTTTATTTTTAATTTATACTATTTTAGATAGCATATGAATTTCTGTAGAAAAATCAGTTCTGAATTTCATCTCCAGTCTTCAGGATGGGCCAATGCTGTACCATTTAACAACAACTTTTTCAGGATTTGCAATGGTATCTTTCCACTGCTCTACTGCTTCGCTGTTGCTGCTATCAGAACTTAACCAGATCTGCATTAAGAGGAAAAAAAAATTAGTTTACCTGATATGATAACAAAACCCAGCATTTACTAGTTCCAAATAAATACCAAGTAAGTGTTGAACAAGATACAATGTACAGACTGTGACCAAAGCATAACAGCAACAAATACAGTTCTGCTAGTGCTAACATTTTGGCTTTCAGCTGGAGTCTGTGTTTAAATTTAGCCTCTAAAATAGTTTAGAGAACCCAGAACATAATGATGTTACAGTACTCAATAAGATGCTTTAAGTGAAGCATTCCTTGCTGTATTCAAATGCACAAGCTGGGGTCAGGGGCTCCCCAGGCCAGCGGCGGCTCTGTGTGTTTGGACACAGCTGGCTCCCAGCCATGCAGCATCCAGCACGAGCTGTCCAGCACTTGCATGAGCATTTAAAATTGCACACTCCCACAGCCAGGGCCAAACCTGCATTCCACAGAGGTTACTAACATGCCCATACCACACATAGTCACGTAGTAAGAGCCCGTTTCTTCTCAGTATTCAGTTAGTCGAGAGTGGCCATTAAATGAGGAAATGAAGTACAAGTAGGAAAATTTCCCCCTTAACATTATCACCAGCCTCCATTGCCAAAAGAATTCAGCTTATGTAAGTAGGTAGCGTTATTTACAGGACTCTGTTTCCTCAAGTCTTCCAAGAATGAGTCCTTTTAAGACTTCTCAGAAACCTTGACCATGAAGTACATTTAGCCTATACTGCTGGGGCATGAGTCCTCAAGAAGTGAGAATAATATCTTCCAGAATACCATAAACAGCTGATGTTTCATCCACAGAGATTCAATGTACATCTTGCTTGTGATTAAAGACATGCCTGTAAAAGCAGCCTAATCTAAGTATTGTCTGCTTAGAACAGCATCCAATTAAACACCATTCTCTGAAGAACAAAGTTAATAGATCCAGCTATATTCATTTTTTTCCAGCTACCCAGCCAATTGCTCAAAGTACATTTTTCCCTGAGCCATATTTTATGTCTTTATGTGTTATGTGGCAATGTCTGCCTTCATGAGCTGAAACAACCTTTTCCAAAAAACCTCTGAGGAGCACAATTTTTCCTCCCCCTAAAAATAAGATCCACAATGAAATGTAACTCATCAGATTGAGATTACCTCACATATTGCTAGATGACTGCAAAATCAAACTCAGTTATTTCCCCCCCCCGCCCAAGGCAGTACAGCTTAGAAGAATTTTTTTTTCTTTTCCTATTTCAAATCTGATTCCACCAACAGGAAGATGGGACATGTGCAACATGAGGCTACAAAAAATGGAGGAACTTCACATAACTCTTGCTAGTACATAATTTCTATATGTTATAGCACTTGAGCATCTCCTGTAGCTGCATGTCTTCAGCAGGCACAAAAATCACCTGAATAGGACAGTACCATTTTTTGTACCTAAGGACAGCACAGTCCTCCATCTGACATGGGATGTTACAGTTGGGGTCTCAAAATCTAGTCTACATTATTAATTTATGCATTTATTAAAATTCTGCTACTGCATTTAACTGCGTCAGGAAAAGCACAGAGCATTAAGAACAGCTATGGCTCACTATATCAAGAAGAAGAGAGACAGAAAGGACAGGACGATGGCAAATTAAGACAAGCAGGGGAGAAGAATGGAGAGAATAATGAGACCTGACTACTAAGTTTTATGGTGGTTAAATAAATATGATCACACAAATGCTTTCAAAGAGATACTACTGAAATCGTGTCTGTTAACTAAAAAGCAAGCTAAAAATATTTTGGGTTTGGACACCTGTACTATTACTTGATCATAACAGACTATTGTACTGCTTTCAGCATTGTTTTACCCAGGAAAGGAGTCTCATTGTAGCCGTTGATAGTTCCTTTTACACACCTCTGTTGTGAGAGTATTGGTACAGTAAGCCAATACCCTCTTGCTGTACAGGACCTTGTAGGTGATGGAGCTCCTGTGGGTGCTATGTTTTTCTTTAGAAAGCTAAAGGCAACCAGGAAATCCTATATCTCTTGTAAGGAATCTGTCACATAGTAATATTCCACACAAAACTGACTTTAGGATTTCTTTTTGAAAGAAAAATCAAGTGTCAACTTCCATTTTCATGCTAGTGCTTGTTTAAGAGCCCAGTACCATTTTTGCTTGGATTACATACAGAAGAGTTTACTAGCATTTACTATTTTGTTATATGTCACCTCATTCAAAGTATTTTAAAATCCATACCAAGACACCTGTGGAACTGGTAAAGGGTATCATGCTATTTAGCAGAAACCAACCTGTCCTAGGAAGTGTTTTCTTCTCACTGAGCTTTTGCTGTAGAGCTTGATGAGAAAGCTAATTCCTTGTTCTGCTTGGCTAACTGGAAAAACCATCATTTCTCCCCACTTCACTTGGCCATTAGTGGACTTCAGAAGGCGAGTCTTCTTTTTATAGATGATCCCTTCTGTACTAAACATTCCAACTTTCACAAAGAAATCTAGCAGAAAAGGGAAGGAAAAAGACATAGCACACAAAGGGTTACTCACAACACACCCAAAAAGGAACCAACAAGATCCATATGTATGCTTCAAATTGCATCAATTTCTCAAAAGTCTGGCCAAAAGAACTCCACAATGGCTTTCCTGACCAGTCACATAAACAGAATGTGTTTGGTAATATTGGACTGATTAACACAGTATCCAAACAGCAAGTGCAAGCTAATGCTCTTGTATGTCAGGATTAATACTGAGATAAAAATCTTCCAAAATACATAAACACACATCTTCAAACCAAACAGAATGTAAACAAGTAGGACATCTGGGGAAGCAAGCCTTGGCAATGGAAATCTACCACACAATGTGTTAGTCTGAGGTTCGTAAAGAATGTTATGGATTGCCAACCCATTTGAGCAGCAATTTACCTGTTACAAGAGCTTTCAGAGAGGAGGCATGAAACAGCTGACTAACTTACTTGAAGACAGTGGTGTAGATGAAACAGGAAGGTTTTGTGCTTCAAGAATCTGTAACTGTATCCTCCTGTTTATTGCTTGAAAACAAGTTCCTATTTGAAGTTCTGCACGGCACACCTACAAGCAGAAGAATGTTGCCATAACATCTGGATTAAGTTGCTTATAAACTCAGGAAACAGAGGAATTTTGTCATATGTTGGGCTCCCACATTTCTATCTGGGATTTCCTGGACAGAAATATAAGAATGTGTTGTATACAGAACCTGCAGATGCACAGTAAGTGCATCTTGCACTTGTCATAGCTGCAGTACATGTGCTCCACTATGGGCTGCCTATGTGTGGTGCACATATGGCCAGGAACACTGGCCAAATCACCTAGTCCTCAGTTTTTACCTGGCACGGCTTCTGCAGTGGTAAGAGCAGACACATACAGGGGAAATCAGACGTGCCATTGCAACTTTACTAAATCTGGGTGTGGAAGTGAGAGAGCAAGTAAGCTCCACTGACACAAAAACCTTCAGAGTTGCCCTCCCACACTTGAGTTCTGCCATATGGAGATATAAGCAATGGTTTCCATTGCTACAAGGCCCTCTCACTTAATGTCATGAGTGCTTAGGGTGACTGTGTACTGTGTAGTTTCCTGTGTTGTAAAAGTACTGGTGTTTTACATGCCCACACACACACGCCACTGCCACACACACAATGCATGCATCAAGATCTCCAGTCTGATTCTTGTGGGCTTTTTTAGAACTTTGTGGCAAAGTTGCACTGAGTCATCCTCTTTGCTGTCCTGTCACACTCTAATGTCCTCAGAACACCATGAGAGCAGCAGGAAAAGGCCAGTGGAGACCCACCTTTCCTGACAGCCTTCACTTAAATGGACTCTGCTAGTCTTTGTTGCCTTCAAGTTTTAACACACTTCAATGAACCAAAATGCACTAAGCAAGAGAGCAACAGGTTAGATAAAGAAAAGTCAGGCCTCAGTTCATCAAAGCAACCCAAATTCTCTTTGTAGCTCAGCCACAAAATTTCTGTAATGCTGTGAGGAAGCCACTTCATCGACTCTGAGCTTTGGCTTTCCATTGGCAGAGAGGTTAAGGTTTGCTGCCTCACGGGGTATTACAGGAGTGAATCCCAGAGTGTCTGGAGGGCTCTTGGATACCAGCTTCCTCTGTCACTTTATCTTATTGCTTTTGAAGCAATATGGTTATTTACATTAGAACTAAAAAATGTCAAGTGAAACTTATGTTAGAAATCAAGAGTATCATTCATATTACTCAGACACACTTAAATAAAATTTGCTTTTGAATTGCTAATTCAAGTTTAATTTGTTGAAAATTCAAATGTCTAGACACAATCTATAAAAGAAACAAACAAAGTGAGGGTAGGGGGAAAGGAAATCCCACTGTGAAAACCACCTGCTTCTTATTACACTAATGGAAATGAACTGTCTGAATTATTACTTCACAGCATGCAATCTGAACATTAAATATATGGCTGTCTGTGCAGTTTCAGGCCACTGAAGATCTTAGCAATTTTCTTCCATAACAAAAGCAGATTCCATTTGCTCTGAGCTCTTGCTGTGAGTCCTAAGGATCTCCTGATGCTTTTTTGGTCAGAAAAGACAATTACCCGGTGTTCTCTGCTGAACATTTCCCCAGAATGTCCCTCCCTCAAGCTGTGAGCCATGGTGTGGAAGAGCTTGCTCTAGCTCTTTTCCTAGAAACATCTGCAGTTTATGACCAGAACAGCTATGTGCAGAGTTCAAAAGTCTGCATTTTTTCTCCATCAAAATGCCTTTCTCCAAGGAAGCAGGGTAAAGGGGAAAAAAGAGAACCCCTCTAGTTTTTACTACTGAATTATGTTCTTTCATTTCCAGCAACCCCTTCTAGGAGAGATAAGAACATACTTTCACAGTATTGGCACTTACAGGTGCTTTGGAAGGAGGAGATATATCCAGCCAATGATTCGACTCCTGTGAGCTCAGCTCCCGCAGTGCCAAGGAACATTCTCCAATAGTTTTTTTCCTGGGAGTCTGTGTCTGGATTTTGAATACCAATCTGACAGCCTGCAGGCTTTGCAGTTTAATGGCAAAAACAAAAGTTTCCATAAATTCAATGTCCTAGAAAGAAAAACATATGAGCAACATTATCATTTTAAGAGAATCCCACTAAGCCCAAAACCTGGAAACCAAGGCATCCTGGCTCTATAGCCACTGCTCCCAACTACCACTTTAGGTTGCCATGGAAAAGTGTGCTTTTACAGTGCAAAGTCCACACACACTCACCCCTGTGTTGTCACACCCTGGCAGGGCTGAAATTTGGAATTATTTTTCACTATCATAACAAGTTGTGGCATCTCTTCTGGAGCGCTACAACAGCACACACACATTGTGATAACAGATTCTCTAACCTTTTGCTACAGTGTCTCCAGCTAATTTTATTTTCTTTCACCTTTGGCTTACATTATGGGAGATTTATGTTGCTTTACTTTCCACTCCCTTAATATTCCTTTACTGCCACTATCAGGAATCTTGTGCCATGTGACCGATTTTTACTATTTTCTGTAGAGACAAAGTGTGAAAATTGTCCCCTGCCAAATGAGAGGCAGTACCTCAGCTACCTTCCCTGGGATGAGTGTGCACCTACAGGTATGCCCAGTCTTCCTCTGGTCCCCCATCACAGCCACAGCCTGCAGCTCATGGTTCAGTCCCCTGTGAGGGTGTCTGTCCTGCCAGCTTGTGAGAGAAGGAGGGCAAGAGTACATTGCAAGGCAGGATATAGGGGGAGGAAGTGGAATAAGGCTTGTAATAGGATTTTGAGAAGTTGGGAGAAGTAAAACACACCTGGGCAGTTACCACAGCAAATATGGCACTGGAGTGGATGTTTGGTCTATTTTAAAAATCCATTTATCTGTCACATTTATTTTTTGTGGGGAAAAATATTTCCTGGTATTTTGCATGCCTCTACTTACATTGCAGCCCTCCTTGGCAGAAGATTTGAAATGCACTGGTTTGGGCAGTGTGAGAATTCCCTTGACACAGATACGAGGATTTTCCCCACAGCTAGAAGGCCAGCTCAGGTCTTTGCACTGCAACATTAAAAAAAGTCAGTTTAGACAATGCAAGACTCACCATTTCATGTACTTACAAGGTTTCTGTCTACTCAAAGTTCCCTTGTCTGAAAATTATTCACAGTTCTGGAAGCATATACAACCACCAAAACAGTGTCACATTTACTGACAAAAAGCCCTCAAGAAGCAATGTGTCCTCAAAGTTCTGTTAGGGTTCTTCCCTGAAGGAACTGTTAGATTTAAAATCATAGAATCATGGAAGTCACTTAAATGGTGCCTCCACAGCTGCTCCCATTTATTGCCTTCAGATTTTCACAGGAAAATGTCCATAGCAGGACCAGCCTACGACCAGCCTGGCTTTCTAATACCTGCTGAGTAGTTCCTCACTTCACAACTTGAACATATGTTAACATATGTGTAGTAGTAACATAAGGAGATATATAGTCTTCTTATTATATTCTTCTTAATCTTAGCAGAAAAGAGATTGCAAATGAAAAAAATTAAAGGGGAGAAAGATGCTTTGAAGCCTAATATTACATTTTACTGAACTTTGTTTATACTAACACTTATAAATAATTGTTTTCTTAAAAGTATTTATTGAAGTAACACAGAGACAAATTTTATGACAATTACCACTAAGTATAGTAGAATAGTCATTGGTCATTGCATAGTCATTATTTGAATAAATAACCGACCTGTTAATATTTGCTTACATGTAAAACTGTGATCCAAATCTGTTCCACAGAAGAAACATAACACAACTTCACATTCAGTCTTCCAAAGTCTCGTTCATCACCTGATAATGTAATAGTATCTATGGAAGAAAGCCAATTAATATTTTTACAAGTAAAGCAGTATCTTAAAAGTTCACTCCAGAAATAAGGGACCTCATTAGTAAGTGAACTGCTTATCTTCGCAAACTTCTCTCAAAATAAGTTTGAAATATTTTAACACCTACATTTCAAGGATAAACTATCCACCAAGTCTAGTGACCTGACCTTCTGCATGGCTAAAAGCCTTCACATTTCATGGAACAGAATAACATAATCATGGAATATCCTGAGTTGGAAGGGACCTTTAAGGATCACAGAAATCCAACTTCTGGCCCTGCACAAGAGACCACACCAAGAATCACACCATGTGCCTGGGTTATCTCTACTGAATTTAATAACTTGTGTTATACTCAAACAACTTTTAGAAAGGAAAAAAAGCATGTTGCTGAGACACCCAGAACACATTTATATCCTTTCACTTCCCCTAATCTCTTTCACTGTTAAGTTTATAAATTGGTCTCTTTCTCAAATTTCAACTCCAGTCTAGTAAACATTTTACTATTATGCTGTCTCCAAGTCAGAAGAGCCATTTAATACCCAGCATTTCTCTGTCATCACTGGAACCAGGTCATTGCCTCAGTCTTCTTTTAGAAGGAGACTGGGTCAAACTTTGACTTATAACAGGGTGACTTTTGTGGGGCCTTGATTAATTTTTGAAGGTTTATTTTGCCATATTTCCACTTTTTCAGCATTCCTTCATAATTAAGGATACTGGATTTGCATGCAATATTCTTGCCTAATTACCAGTGTAATATGGGTATTGGATTTCAGGCACCTCACATACATGAAAAAGGACTAGACCTGGGACCTAGTGCTGTATTCTATCCTAACAAGGTATCTGTAATTTCTTGGTTCACTTGGGCAGTAAATCCAAGAATGAATTTCTCAAAAGCATGAGAACTCTGAAAACTCTCATCTGCTCAATCTCCAAACAATAGGACAGTGCAAGTCCAAAACTCTTCATTTCAAATTGCCAAGTCATCTCCAGCTGACCTGCTAGTCAGATTAATCTCATAAAAACCCCAAACCAAACAAAAGCATCAACAGCAGAGTACAAACAGTTTAATGTTTCATGTGCAAAGGGAAATATTTCATTACAAGGTAATCAAACAAAACATTACCCAGACTCCTGTTACTGCCTTGTGAATCCTTCCTTGAAGAACTACTGCTAGGTACACTGGAGACTGAATCATATCTCTGTGGACAGGAAAAAAGGAATCAATTCAGAGCAACAGATGCAAAACCCAGAGATTATACCATCAGAAAAGATATGATGAAAACAAAATGTTCCATTTCAAATAATTGCCTCATTTCTTACTAGTTTCTTGATCCAGCAGCATGCAATTACTATTTTGATGCAATGAGCTAATAGAGGACCTATTTGACCAGCAGACATTTTTTTTGCTCATGAATATATACACAACTCCATTGCTATGTAAGACATTATTATAGAAGAAATAAATAAACACAGTTTTGTGTCAATGGAAACTTCCACTGTTCCACTCTTCAGCTGATGGGAGAAACCAGCAGATGATGAACCATGACATGCTGTCTGTCCTGTCCTGCCTAACAGCCTACTTGGGTTCCTCAACAGCCCCGCTGGGCCAGAACAGCAAATGTCAGAGAGACACCAGGAAAAAGCCTCTTGAAGTGGTCAAGATGTTGACATTTTCCCTCCAGTCCTCCCAGTGTACAGTGCAATGCCCTCCAGTGTTTACTTTGGAAACAATGCAGTGGGGACAGATACACTAAGCTGAGTTTTCAGGGCAACCTTGGCTCCACGGGAACTCACCTTCATGAATCGGTGAGGTGGGCTCCTGAGATCAAACATGGAACGACTTACATCAAGGGATCCAGGCAAAGCACTGGGCCTTAAATCACTAACTAATAAGACAAAGAGAACAAAAAAATTCACATTATCACCATTGCTAGGAAAAAAACCTAACTGAGAATAACTTTCACAAGATGCTGGAAATTATCTGTTCAATCCTATAGATTACGAATGAGCAAAAAGGTTTAAGGACAGTATGATCTGCTGTTATCTAGTAATGTTTTCCAGGAACATGGGGATGGGGCAGGGGTAAAGAGATGGTGTCTTTTTTAAAAATTAAATTTTTAATGAAAAAAACGTTAATTTTTATACAGAAAACTGTCTGTAAAATATAAAAAAGCAGAAACATTTAAATCATAAAAATATGTTGTTTGCCGATAAGTAGAATTTCAGAAAATCATTACTGAATTTATTTTTCAGTTTGTTTGTGTGGAGGTTGTTTTTTTTTTAAGATGAAGAGAAGGGGCATCACATTAAAATTCAAGAATTTAATTTTGTAACTTCCAAATAAACACATTCTATAGTTCTAAACCAAACACATGAAAAATATCACAGCAGTCACTGCAACAAACTAGGTTTAGAGTTTTGTTTTAATAGTTTATAGATGTATGAAGTTCTAAGTTCTGAAACAGCTGTCAAAAAACTCTGGAGGAAAAATTTTAGAACTGTACTCTATACACACTAGAATAACCTTTCTTGTGTTTAAACTTACTAAGACGAAATTAGTAAAGTGTTCACTTTGCTTGAGGAAAAATGGAAAAAGAGATTATGAACTGAAGGAAAGATGTTCAAGACAGTTTAATAAAACCCATTTGGCTCCCACCACAGGTGATTACAAAGCCTGGTAAAACCATATGTGTTAAAAGCTGATAAAATTCTACATGTGTTCTGTTCTCTTAAAAAAAAAAAGTATGGAATAGTCTTTTCATGTAATCTCTATGGTGATTCAGAATTCTTTTAAAACAGAACACAGACTGAAACATTTTCCCCCAGCTGAAAATAAGAATGCTATACCATTCTAAATGAAACATCTTTAAAAATGGGAGCTGTTTCCAGCTTCCGATTTCATGGAGAGTGTGTACCTTTCCTGGAGTGCTGGAGGTTTCTGAATGCATTTGCCTTGGCAATCACAAACAACAGCTAGTAGTTTACTTCAGTCTGAGCAGCATTCACTACAGGACACATTACCTAAGTAGCCAAACACTTTCTATCTAAACCTTTACTATCTCACAGACCTCCCTCATTCTTACACACCGAGATGTGGGGACATTGCTGTAACTTCAAAAGCAAACAACAAAAAAAGTTGGCACATGGCATCATGCCCCACTTTGCACCTGTCCTTATCATCTGCTCCTGAATGTTTTTTGGTGCTTGCTCCTGTCCCCATATATACACTCTTCCTACTCAGCATACTGCCTGGCTTCCTTTTTCCAGCCCCCTCACTCCTCTTACTGGGAGCCGAAATCTCCAGTACTGCATCCTGGTCTGGATCAGAGGGAGCTATAGTATCTCGCTTTGCCAGTTTCTCTACCTTTGCGTGATGCATGCAAGCCTTGTTAAGTCCCTAAAAGACAAAAAGTAAAAGTGCAGCTGAAAATGAAACACAGCTGGCTCTGCAGATTGATTCACCAATGAAGGAGTGTGTGTAGCACACCGACCAGCTTGAGAACTGCTACAACCAAACAAGTCTTCTGTAGACTAATGGCTTTTATTCCTCTTACCTATAAACCCTGAAACGGGGAGGAAGACAGAGAAGCAAGGGTGTGGTCCTTCTCACCTGATCCATACAATTTCCTGCTATCTGCTTTTGTCTGGAAGCGCCTGATGAGATCTGGTGAGACGCGATGCTCCAGATAGAAGGGGTTGGACACGTCACAGCCGGGCCACTGGTATGCGCCGTGCAGCTCTGCCTTCCGCTCGCCAAACGACGCTCTGGCTGACTCTGTGGAGCACAAGCAAACAGCAAATGCAGGAGCTCCAGACATAACACATGCTGCCTGGCTTCATAAGGCAGGCAGAGTGCCTTCAGGGCAAAGGACAAAATATTTCAGTATTATCTACTCTGGGTAAAGGGGGAAAAAAAAAAAAGAAAAAGAAAACACACATTCACATTATGTCAGGTTTCCACAGTGTGTGAGCAAACACTGGAAAATTTGCCTTAAAAAACTATGCATACCCTCTCTTGGGGTTTTGCAGTAAATGCTTAAGGAGTTAAATACAGAAGGTTCCAAAGACAGACAGCAAGACAGAAGTTAACAAGAAAAGTAGCACTCTGTGTAGAGAAAACCTCCAAATTATTTAGTTACCTACTCCCAATGGACCTAATGGACCCCCAGACCTTCAGGAAGATCTTGTATGGAAAGATAATGCAGCTTGTGACTGCAGTCTCCTTATCTACTTTCCATGGCAAGTTTGTCCATGGTAAAATCACTGGTCCAAAATTACTTGAATTGTGGGTTGAGGTGTAAGTAGACATATCTGAGACTGCTTGAATCCCAGCCCTTTACTCAGCTCATAATAATTTCAGAAAAAACATGTATGCTTTGGTCAGCAAAACAGTGAAGAACACTGCTGTAGTGTTCTTTACTGTCTGGACTGAAAAGAAGCCACGTGTAACAGCACATTAGAGAATGGGATGACCTGGATTCTGCCAAACTCTGATATTTGCTTCCTTCTCTTCACCTCCCTGGACTTCAACCTATCTCTTAAAAAGTTCTTTACCACACAGTAAAGTGCCTTCAGTTCTGCAGGTGTCTTGCACCGTAAGAGGCAAACTACCACTGCTCAAGAGTCCTCTCCTGCATGTGTTAGCAAAGTAAAAAACTTAAACACTGACATGGAACACGGGCAGTGATAAAGCAAGATCTCAAGCAAAACGGGCTTGAGCATGACGTAAATCAGGATGAACACTAAAGTGAGGCCACAAAGAATTGCTACACAACAGATGATGGAAAATCCAGTGTTCCAGACCAGGAGCACTTCTTCCTGCTAGCTTACTTCTGTGAGAGCACGAGACACACTGCAGTGAGCACTGAAGAGAAAGGCTGCCAGAACTTAATTGCTTTCAGAAGGGTTGCCAAGAGCTAACACTGAGCATGTCCTGTTTCACTAAAGGAAAATGGCCAGACATGCACAGAAAATGGTGAGCAACTGAGAGCAGGACTTGGACTTCTATGGATATTTAACAATGATCTAAGAAAAAAGTACTCTGAATACATTTTTTGAGTATGCTGGTGCTTTGGCTAATGTGAAAAAAGAACAACAGCACACTTCACTCTATTTAGTAAATCTCCCTAAAAAGTAAACACTGCATTTTTAAGCAAAACTTTATACAGCTTAAAGCTGTACTCAAAAAAAAAAATAGTATTTATATTTGGAAAGAGAAATGAAAATTGCCTACTTGACATAAGAGTCACTTTTCAAATACTTGTTCAAAAATTTAAGATATTTGCTCAAGAGACTCAGTTATGAAGAGTCAGATCATCCTGCCAGAAGATCTAACAGCTTGCAGCCGAAAGGACCACTCTGTACACCAGGTCCCTCAGAAATTATCAGGAAGCAGAATTCTCAATGTAGACAGTCACTGACTGTTAAGATTGCATAAGAACAGCACGAACAAGGAAAACATTCATCTAAAGGCTGTTAGACACATCTTCCTTCTCGCTGGAGAACATCCATGCCTCAGAGTCCTTGATGAACTTCTCTGTACTGTATCTTGAGGATGAGATTAGACTAAACAACACAGAGCCTAAACCTAGACCCAGTAAGAAAGGGGATAATCAGGAGAATGTCCTGCTTTTCTACAGCATATCCAACTATGGACTTACAAGAAGTAGCTACTGAAATAGCAGGCAACTGGGGAGATCAGGCTCAGAGATGAGGGGGCCTCACATGTTCTACCTCCAACTCTTCAGCTGCCTGTTAAGGGCTGCTGGCATGCCAAAGGAAGCCCACTAGAAGATGGGGCACAGAATGTCCAGTCTGTACTGACCAGCTCTGCTAGGCTGCTTAGCTTGGCCATGTGCCAGTGGCACATGCAGCAGTGGGTGGGGAAGAAGTTTGGTAATAGCCCTGCAGGAGCAGGAAGGAAGCAGCAGCGGGGACCTAGGGAGAAGAAGAGGGAAGGGTGGGAATAAAACCCCACAAACGCAAAAGAGGTAGTACTGCATTAGTTGTTATGCAACGTATGATTGCCTTCTTTCACTTATTAGGCTTTTCACCTTCAGAAAGGAAATAAAGTCACATGGGACTGAGAACATACTACCAGTTTATCATGTCCTTGAGGCAAAGCAATCCTAGAGAAAACAACTGTTCAGGTATGCCTCTGTGCCAAAATTTTCCCTTACCTAATTCTATGCATCTCCTAGCAGGACTAAAAGCCTAACATTAGCATATGCTCTGTAACTCACATTAGTGGGACAGAATGCTATTCTTTTTAAATGCACTGTGTCTAAATTGCATGTACCTCATTTTGGCAGTTTGAGTATGGGAGTAACAGAGGATGAAACACAAGATTGTTGTGAAGCAGAAAAGAAATAGTAACACATGGAACCTTGTAACAAGGGATCTGTGCCCCCTGGCCTCTCAAAAAACAGCAAAAGGAGCAGGAAATAATAGGGACAAAACATTCCGCCAGATACTGCACCTGCCATCTATTGGCAAAATTTGAAAAGGAAGATGTGTTAGTATGTTAAAATATACCAGAATATTAACCATGAAAATCACCTCTCCTTTTACTTGAGAGATATAGATACTGGGGATATGTTAGGTGTTTCCTTGTCTCCACTAAATTCAATAAATCTTTCTAAAGACTCCACTTCCTTTAAGCGTCTTCCATTACTTTTGAATATGAGCACTGGTGTGCAATCGTCCCATTCAGTTTTATTTGTACAATGTCACAGGGATTCATAGCTGGATGACATACTTCCCAAAACCCCTCTGGGTGTCCAGAGAGAAAAGAAAAGAGCTCCAAACAAGCTCCCCATTCTCCCCAGGGTCACAGCGGCAGCCTGACAGAGTTCAAGTGCTTGGACAATGCTCTCAGGCACCTGGCGTGACTCACGGGGTGCCCTGTGCAGGGCCAGGAGCTGGACTTGATGATCCTCCTGTGCCCCTTCCAATAAATGATGCTTTGAAACAAAACCAGGCTTCCAGCAAAGTTCTGCAAACATGTTTTCAGTAGGAATACTTGACAACATTCAAGGTGCAGCAGAAGCTAAACAATAATTTCAGCAATACTGTCTGTATTTTACCTTTAATCCCTCCAGCATGTGAGATACTTGGAAGATTCTTTGGCTGTACATAAGCCAGTTTGAATGGAGGGACCACAAATGGTACCTCCTGACCGTCCAGGGGCAGTTTGGAAAGCAAATAATCCTCAGAACAGCCAACTTGACGCTTCACTGACACAGAAGACAATGGAGGCTGCTCTACAATAGTTGGCTTGCTTGCAGCTACTGCTTCAGATTCCTGCACCATGGAAACTGCTAAAAATAAAGAGCAAGACAGACAGTACACATGTGCATTAATTTTTGAACAATACTATGAACAGATCTCTTTTATTTAATAGTATCTCTGCTTGATACTTTACTCAACAGCTGTATCAGTTTTACAGCTAGTATTCAGTTTTACAGCATTCAGGAGTAGCACCAGGAAAAGATATTCATCCTCCTGACACCTGTATGGATCCAAACTCTTTGTTGCCCAAGCTTCTATATTTATAGCTACCTTCTTCTTAAGTGAATTTGCACAAGAGCTACACTTGTGTCACAGACAAATTCTTCAAACAAATAAAACACCAAAGAAAATCTTAACAGAGTTAAAAATACCCAGAGTTAAAAAAAAAAAAAAGCAGCATTCAAATTCTCAGAGTTTGAAAGATATTTAAACAACCTTGGGTAAAAAAGCCAGCTTTTTTGGACAGTGTTCCAGACTGCAAAGAGCAGACTTCAGACAACTGTTATTTCTCAGTTCCAATTCATAATACTAACAGGCATGGGTTCAATCTCTAAATGGGGGTATGGCAAGATTTTGGTTGTTTGAAATCAAGTTTATCAGGGGTAACACAGTCATTCTGTTAATGAGAAATCTCATCACTAATGCAGCAAAACTTGTATTAAACCCTCATTATGTCAGAACTCACAATCATTTTTTTCCTTGTCCATGCAGAAACACAATTTACAGCAGGTTTTTATACATTCTGTTGCCATTGTTTTCAGTGTTATAATTTAGAGGGAACCTCAATCAGTGATCCAGTGCAGCTATCAGACCTGAAAAACACAATAAAACAAACCATAGTAGATGAGAGTAAGTATAATCAGAATGCAATATTATCAGCTATTTAATATGCAGTTGCTTTTTGTACACAGTCCCAGGATTAATCAGAAAGTTACTTCAGTCATAAAAGGATCATAGCCATTAGATTTCTCTCACTGAGAAAAATCACTTTTATATAAAAGCACAAGAAAAGAGCTAGTTTTAACAAATGGCATCACATACTTTCAGTCATCCACCCAGACAGGTCCTTGTCTTTTGGGAACACTAAAATTCTCCTCATATTTGTGTGTGCCACTGGGCTTTGGAGTTTACTCAGCTTTACAACTGTTTTGACATGGTATTGTCAAGCCATTTGCAAGATGTGTTTTAAATTCTGTTTCCCTTGTTCATGTTTCCCTTATCCTCTTTCACTCCCCTACTATTTTCACATACATCTATACATGTTTACATTTTTCACTCGACATACTCCATACTTTTAACTTGAAAACAGGCTTTATGAATGATGCCAAAATTGCCTTCTTTGAGAAGCTACTGCTTTCTCATAATTGTATACACATGAAACTGAAGACCTGGTTTATTATATAATTGTTTGCTGTGCACACAGAAACAAAGCATGCTGACTTGCAGCAAAATAAGAGGCAAGCAATCTACAAAAGAATGAGAACAAGTCTCTAACAGCTGGTTAACATTATAAGAACTTTATGACAATGCTAACTGGCCTCATTTAAATGTCTTTATTCATATCCTTATGTTCTCTTTTCAGAGAGACACAGACAGCTGTGCTGCCTCCTGTCCAAAACTTCAGCTGTCTAAGTCTAGTCCTTTCACATCCACCTAATGTACACAGGGTTCTTAGGAGAACATACCCAAGACACAATTCTAACTCAATGAAGATTAGAAGACACCAAACAGAACATGAACATAGGTTAAAGGGGTGAGGAAGACAACGAGTAAGACAGAGGTGGAAAGCATGGAGAAAATACGCAGTTTTACCAAAAATGTAAAATGGACATGTTTGCTTATTTATTCCAATTGCAAGAAATTTCTGAAAGCATCTGTGCTCCAACACAGAAACCGCTCATTCCCACTGCAGCTTCAACAATGCCATAATATTCTTTGCATATCAAAGACAGCTAGAGAATCACACAAAGTCTATGGAAACAACTGTAATATCCCTCAAATTTTTCTTGCATTAAAAGCCCCTCAAATTCTGTAGATGTCAAGTTGACACAGTAAGCTATGGACACTTCCTCTAACTCAAAGACCATTACTTTGCACAGAATCCCTCTCTCTGTACTTGTCTTCATCTTAAAATTGCCCATGAGTGTAGTACAGCAAGAGATCTGCATCAAAAATCTTCAGAGGCAATGCCACCAGCTCCAGAACCTGCTCTGCATCTTTACAGAAGCATGAAAGGAGGATGAGAATTTCTCACTTAAACTCTCCATGGTTCTAATGATCAGACTTTCACTGCTGCTCCTCCCTTGGAGGCATACTCACAATGGCCAAGGCTGCTAATTTACTTTGGGTTCCCCTGCAGTGATTTTCCTTCCCGGCTGTTATCAGTACACAGCTGGAGTTAATATGCTTCACTCTTGTTCACCATGTTTAAACTGGACTGAAACAGTTGCTCTGTTTGCTCTAAGCTTTGCAACAATGCTATCTAAGCCTCAGTGGCAGTTTGCAAAGGCAAAACAGACTTTTATCTCAAAATGTCCAGATAGAATTTATTTGCTACTGCTGGTGAAGAAACCAAAATGTTAGTACTGCCCTAGCTACATAGTACATTTCTAGCTACATAAAGTAGAAAAATTCATTTTTCTGCATCAGAGAAAATTCAGTTAATGGAATTTTTTAGCTGGAACAATTAATGTGAGCAAATAAACAAATGGAAATCATCTGTCACAAGCAGCTGCCTTTCCTTCACAGTGCCTTACCTAGAAAGAAAGGGCTTCCTATGAGTATTGAGGATTTAACAGTGATAATGCAGCTCTACACCTCCTGTTCTATCATGGAAAAAGACCATTTTTTTCACAGTAATGCCAAGTCAGCTGTGATAGTCTTTAACCATTACATTTTTGCCCTGTTTATCAATATGCAAACGTTCATACATTTTTCTTCTATCTAAAGACAAATATAAAGCAATTCATTACTGCCTACTGTAAAGAAGAGCTAGGATTACAGATTGCTCTTTAGCAGTAGGCAAGGCAGTATCAACAGTGAATACCAAAGTATATAGACACACACCTTAAAGCCTCCATTTCAGTTTTAGCTTAATTATAGGAGTTTGAGAAGAAAGTTCCATGACTAAGAGACTAGAACACTGTTTACACTTCTTTAAGCTTACAAATGTAATGGTTTCAGTGACAAACCTTACAAAAAAAGACTGCATTTGCTGAGGGACAGGCCATTTAGACACAACACTCCCTCATTCTGCTTAGAGCACTTTATGGAATCAATAACATGCATGGTCTCAATTACTTTAAAAAGTTTTAATTCACTTAATTAAACTATCATGTTAAATATTGTTGTTTGTTTTTTTTTTTTTTGTTCAAGCAATCCTGGCAGTAAATTAGATGGCTTGGCTCCCACTTAATATATTTTCTTGTATCTGTATTTTCCAAGCTGCCTACAGTTATTTATACAACTTTCACTGCATGTAAAAGTTTCCTCTTAACCATGTGGGAGAGAAAGAAATTTAGCAGGTTCTGTTGTATATTTTATTAACTGAAAATAAACAAAAACATTGTAGAAGAGTAAGGAAGTATTTCATGATCTAGACAGAAGTTGACATTTCTATCAAAGGTTAAACTTATCCCACATGATGCCAGGTCCTTTTGCTGGTGTTTGCTACCCCAAAAACATCAGTATATAATTCAACAGTTGTTAAAAGGTTGCATTAACATGAATTTATCTGGGAATATATTTACGAAATAAACCAGAACCGTAGAGACATTTGTTAGGTGCACCACCAAATCCCAAAGAATTACTGACTTCCCAGCAATGCCATCCATTTTAACAAGAAGACTCCTTGACCCTATCTCTACTTTTTGGGGTCAGTTTTTGTCAGGTAATATGTACATAACAAGCACGTCCTCAATTTTTGTGACAAAATGACGGAGAAAAAGAGAATTTGCCCTCATTTTCAGACAAATAGAGAGAAATCAATTTGCAGAAGAGGGATCTGAACCCACATCTTGTCACTTGTGAGTCAAATTTTCTCTTTCTTGGTGTTTTTCACCAAATTCTGTAAGCCACTTCATTTCTCCTTTCCCAGTATCAAGCCAAAGTCTGATAAGCAAATGAAACTCAGCAAGAGTACTTCCACACTAAGGCAAAAAGAGAGCCAAACTTATTAGAACATCCTGGAAAGAGCACTTTAAAACCTAACCACACACATACACTGAGCCTAGAGAATTATAATAACTATTATTTTAATGGGTTTAGATGGAAAACATAAATTATCTTAATGATTTCCAGATTCCTCTGATAGAAATTTTGACTGAGCTAAAATCAGATAAACAGAGTATCAAAGACTTTAGTTCCAAATGCCTCCAGAACGATTACAAGACAGAGATGTTTGGAGAAGAAAGTAAATATTTTCAACAACTCATTAAATAAAAAGAACATGATAAAAAACGGATGATCACAATATTAAATACTAAAAGCTGAAAGCAGTCTGAAAGAAATGTCAGGTCTTTACTGCCTTATGAGGAAAGGGTGTTTTGCAGCAAGACTGCAGGCTGCCAATGGATTTTACTGCATTTAGTCACAGCTCTGCTCCATAGGAGTTGACCAGGTAACACATTTACAACTGCACAACAGAAACAGAGGTGAAATAGCTGTTCTCAAACAGGGAAAGCTGGCTAAGCCAGTGGTTTCAAATGTTTTGAGATTTATTGCCAGTCATAAATGCATATAACGCATTCTCAGATCTGCATTTTAGAAACATGCCACAGCAAAATTCTAGTAGCAGTACAGTCTCACACAGCAGGATGTGTAAAACAAAATACCCGGAAAAAAGGGATTATCAGTTGTTAGAAAGCATTTGGGACAGATCTTCGAATGATGTAAGTGTCTACAGCTCCAGGAGCCCCAGAAGAGCCAGGACACTTTGCAACATGAGGATCTGCCCTGTGGAGAAAGTGAGCTCAGGCTTGCTAGTTCACACCTTAGCCAAACACCTCATTTCTGATACCTCTTCTGCTACCTGTTCATGCTGCCCTATGACTTTCTGCCTTTTGGATCCAGAAGATGCAGTCAGTCCCAGTCATATGAACCCTTCAGAGAGCATAACAGCACCAGCTCAGGTCTCCAGATGTTTTACAGAAGCACAGCACAGCAAAAGGATGGATTATCTTTTGATGGTGCAGATGCTGCTCAAGGCTTAACTTCCACAGCCAGCTGTTTTGTGGTTTTGCTTCTGGGAGAGAGTGTCTGGAAGCTGTGCACCCCTCTCAGCACAGCTCTTCAGCTGAAGAGGGGTGGCTGATGGCCACCACGTCTCAAAACCAGCCAACCCTAGTAAAACAGCCTCAATGGTTTTGAGACTCTTGCCTCCAGGTACTTTCCTACTACAGCAGCAAGGACAGCACATGTGCTCACACACATCTACCAAAAACATAAAGCCCACAGTTTAAAAAACCCAACAACTGTTTTTTTGGGGACTCTCGGCAGGTCTGACTTTTACTGCCCACATAGGGGAGATAGGTACTTCAAGTGGGCCTGAGCATGTGAAAAGAGAGGACACAGCTCTCATTCCTATTCATTATAAACTTCAGCAGTAGGAGAATGGCTGCAGGAATTACAAATAAAGGAAACAAAAAATGCCATGCCAACACACACCTACCGGGTGCATGATAAGGAGCTCCTTTCTATACCTATTTCAGGAAGAAGTCCACAGCAGTGATATATGCAGCAACTAGTGGGTGGGTGGGTGTGTGCATACATACACTCTCCTTTGCTTGTAGCCACAACTCTTGGAAGAGCACGA